GCAGAAATGTGCTTACAGATTCTAAATTTGAATTGTTTGTATTTCCTAAAGAATTTGCATTGGCAGAAACAGTATCTACAATCTGACTGGAAACATTGTCATCAGTAACAGGTCTCTATAAAAAATTATGATTAAATTAATTGGACTACTGAAGCCTAATTAGCTGAACTATTGAACTACTGCACGTTCAGCAGTTCAGAAAATAAAACCAACCCTGAATTAATCAATCTACTCACTATCTACTTCAACATTAATAATTATATATACTTTAAGTAATTTACTTTATACAAGGATTTTCTTGAGGTCATTATTGTTTTTGGAGGGTTAGGAAAATCAAAAATAGTTGGAATTGCATTCCATTTCAACTTTTTTAATCCATCTATTCGATTTTGTTCAAACTGATTATCCTCAAAATGAATCTATTCAGGTAACAATTTAGTATCCAAGGTGAATATATAAATGAAACAACTAATGTGTTTGATTACATGGCAAAGTCGTGCTGAATCAGTTAGAATCCTTTTATCCCGTCTACTATTAACTACCCAAATTTGTCTACGTTTTTGGTCTGTCGGAAACCGACATAATCGATAGCCTTGACTGATTCGATTAGTACAATTTACTGCAGAACAGGACATATTAACAAAACCTAATTGAATATTTAAATAACTAATAAGTGAATACCTAAGTGGCTAAATAGTTGTAGAAATTTAATTTGTTATAACTATTTTGAAACTGTAATTCAGTAATCAGTATATCTATCATAGTTAATCATTATCATTTATCAGTTTTGTTGCACATAAAATGGCGGATGCACATACTCATACTTATAGAGCCTTAAGAGAATCAATTTTGTGCTGTTAGCTTTAACGTTAGAGTAAACTGACCTATTTTCGCACTTAAAAGGCAGAACAATAATTGGATCTTCTTGTGGTTTTTCTAACGGTGTTTTATTTATTAGCCAGAAATGAGTTTTTTTTTTTAATCATGTTGTACATATTTATGATTTCTTTAAAAATTAAAGTATCCTAACCAACTTCTACGAGAAAATACCGATAAAGTTCTTCTCTTTAAGTTTAATTATCTTGCTTTAATATTAATACAGTATTGGCTCTAGTAAACGCAGATTTACTATGTTGTACGTTTTTAATTTTTAAATTTAATGAATTTTACCAAGCGCTGACAACATACTAATAGCTACATATGCAGATGATACTGCAATCTTAAGCGACCATAGTAATAACATCATAGCAGCCTCCAATCTCCAATCGCATCTTATAAAAATCGAAAAAATGGGCATTCAATTGGAAAATAAAAATAAATGCTGAAAAGTCCTTTCACGTTCCTTTCACCTTAAGAAAAGAAATATCCCTGTCCTTCACTTCAATGGAACGGCAATCCCAATTGAAACTCAAATTAAATATCTGGGCCTGAGACAAACGTCTCACCTGGGGTCCCCATTTAAAAGCAACAAGGAAAAAACTCAACAGTAGACTGCACCTCCTCCGTCCTATCCTCAAATCAAATCTTTCCCTTAGTAATAAAATAATTTTGTACAAATCAATGTTAAGACCCATTTTCGCATACGGAATCCAGATATGGGGCTGTGCCAAACCATCACAAATAAAAACAATACAAGCATTTCAATAAATTACTCTCCGTTTACTAACTTCTGCTCCCTGGTATGTTTCCAATAACTCACTCCTCAATGACCTAAAAATTGAACCCGTTACCACAGTTGCATCTAAACATTATAAAAAATTCCACTCCAAATTAGCAACTCACACCAACCCCCTCATAGCTAATCAAGGTTGAGCAAACTAACCAAATAATCCCACCCGTCGATTAAAAAGGCGTTGGAGCAGGGATTTACTAAATCCCTGACTCCAACGATACACGAGGATTCTGTCACTGAAGAGCCTCCCTCCTCATATGAATTTGTAATTATTTTTGTCACATTTTATATCAAATTTGCTTATTGTACATATGTTACAGATTGTAAATTTTCTATTTGAATAAAAAAAAAAAAAATTTAATGAACATTTGCCACTAAAGCATTAGGGATCGACAATTATACATAATAAACTCATATTGAAATAAAAAAAGACGAAGAAAGGAATATAATTATTTAACCGGAATAAATGTGTGGATCGACAACGATGTTTAGGATATACGGATAAGACAGTCATCGATATTGCAAGAGCTTAGTTGGCATGTGATGGACAAACGGAAAATTAACGAAGTCCGAGCCTCATTACTACTTAGATATTGGTGATTATATATTTCGGAAAATAAGAGGTATTACGAGTTTAAATACAGTGGTCACCGCTTAATGTAATCACGGTTAATGTTATCAGTCGTTTATTGTTATCGAAAAGTATAAGTACGGGCTGGATGTATACTTATTTGTGTAAATTATGACGGCTATTGTAATCAATACGCCGCATAATATTATCAGTTTGAGGTCATAAAATCATAATTTCGTAAGATACAATCAAAGTTTTCGTCGAATTTCTTGAATATAAATGTCTATACTGTTATTTATTTACCGTATATTTATCTACCTTTCGTTCGTATAGCATTAAGACAGTACCGTCGCTGTCTGTCAACCAGTATCGCGTTTGTATGCATCGTGTCGCGTGTGAGTGAAAAAACGAAAAAGAAATGACCTAACAATTTATGAAAAAATTTCAATACTACAACGTTACAATAATTTACCAAAAATGAGACAACGAGAAGCAGCTATAAAACTACAAATTTCGGAATCATTATTGTGTAAATTATTAAAAAAAACGAATTGAAATAGAAAATTCAGCAACATTTAATAAAAATCCAAACATAAAGAGTATACGCAGTGGGAAAGAAGAACAGGTTGAATCAGCATTATCATTATGGTTTATTAATGTTAGAAAAAATTATGCATGCATTAATGGTTCAATATTGCTTCAAAAAGCTGTAGAGCTTGCAAAAAAATGGGTATAGAAAATTTTATTGCCTCAGAAGGATGGTTTCATCAATAAAATAATTTTATTTTTAATAACTATGTATTATGATTATAAAATTTGATGTAACACTACATTATTTATTTTTTTTATTTAACGTAGGTTTTATTATTATTTATAGCTTTCGTTTAATGTTATCAATCGGATTATGTTATCAGTTATGTCCCGTACCAAAGTGATTGTTACCAAAGTGATTTGATCAAAACGAATTGATAATTAGTAATTTAATGACGATAGCAGTTTAATGAAAGGGGAATTGATTTCTTAATTTCTTAAGTATAAAAATATAAAATCTGTAAACATTGACGTGAAAAATATCAACACAATATGAGTATAATATGAGGAAAGTTTAACGATAAAACCCCCAAGGGAGTGAAAATTACAATCTGAGATTTAAGAGATACCAGCCGCAGCAGCATATTTTAAACAGACCGGATGAGTTTTTTCTTCGATATTTTCTACCCCTTGAATAACAATGAGTGAATTGGTATAGCCGGATAACCTCAATGCTATGAGATATTTTAAAATTAAACGGTTCCAGAAGTACCAAAGGGTAAAGGGTGAAGTAGGTAACTGTACATAATCAGGGCATACGTGATCAGGGCCGGCGAGAACTTTTGAGGGCCACGGAGCTGATCGGTTCCAGGCCCCATTTACTTGCTCTTATCTGGCCAAGATATACATAGTACATTTTGTACTTACTTTAATACACTAAAAATATTATATAAAAGGTTGAGACGATGGGCCCTCTCGGACGTACGAGCCCTGGAGTTCTAAGCCCTTCCTATCCCACCCTCTCGCAGGCCCTGTACGTAATGAGCAATTGATTTGAATGACTGCATTGCTTGGTTTTTGAAAAATTTAACATATGTTTATCTTTGTGATGATACAGTTTCTACGAGAAAAATAATCCACATAGAAAATTCGATATTCATCATATATATTCGTCATTCGAAAAAAGAGTAATAAAATGTTTCAGGTAAAATTACACGAACGAACACTATGGTATGCGAGTAGTTATACGATGAGATATTAAAAATATTATTTTTACAAGTATTATAAGTTTTTTTTATAAAAACAAAAGTTTTTATTATTACAATGTGTACGCATCATTTGAGTGATTCAAAAAATAATTACGAAAATGTTACGCCTTATTTTTTATGCTATTAATTTCCCAACATAACAACAAAAATCTCACATATTTAAAATTTAAATTTTCTCCTACTTCATTGTCTTCACACGAAAATATGTTTTCATAATAAGCTTTCCAAATGTCATTCTTTTCCGTCATTTTTCCCGCATACGCATACAGCTGTTTTCATTTAATTTTAATTTTAACCCACCATTATTATTGTTATTATTATTATTATTGTCATATTTACATATTTAAAATTCAATACTATGGGTAATATTTCGATTTCGTGTTCAGTGGTAGTGGAGAAAAAACAAACAACCCGGATGTGATTTCAGTACCAAAAGCATTAAAAAATTATATTTCTTACAGCCGATTGCGGTATTATATTAATAATGTTACAATATCATCCGGACACGCATCAAAATTAATCACGAAACGTGAAATGCTGCTATTAACTCGAATAATAAAAAGTTGCATATCATTGTATTAAGCTCACTTAAAAAAAACAATTTTTATATTTATCAAGAATATTATCATATACGTCATTAACACGTGCTTCGTTCAGACGTTTCACTGAGATCGATGGGATCTGACTTGGGATGACCTGCGCGTGACGTATGATCAATATGTGAAATTCTGAAATTCGACTTTTGCCAAATACTGGTCGATAAAACCGTAGGCATGCACAAGTACTTATCCATAAGGAGGATCGATATAATAATCGTACCGAACGTGTTATTGAAAAAAATTAAATAATTCCTACTGGATAATACCAACGACTAGCTCAAGTATAGAAATACATTTTGCGGTGATTCAACAACCCTCACCTCTCCTCATGTATTTAAATTATACGTTGTATTACATACCTTGAATGCCGTGCGGAATTTCAACGACATGATGTGATACAGAATCGGGTTGATGGTGGTGGACATGTAGTATAGCACGCCAGATACGTACGTGGTGATGCCGTAAAGCTGATGCAAGAACGGAATGTCCTCGTCCTTAGATGATGCGTGATTGGACCAGAATATGGCAATCAGCCGTTGTGCGTGAAACGGGGCCCAGCAGATAAAGAACGCCACGACGACGGCCACTGAAATCCGTCAAAAGATAACGATATTACATAATATTATCATTCGACGTTTATTTTCGCATAAGGAGAAAATATTTTTGGTTTATATAATAATTTATCAGCCACTTCAGACACAATTGCTATTAGAAGTGCATCAAGTGAATAAATTCTAAATATTGAACGTACATATTTTATTTTCGCCGAAATTAAAATGTAATGTTACATGAAATTTGTGTACAAGTGTGTAATTTGATTGGTGTTTTAACATTGATTGTTTTGCGTGATAGTATTATCAAATTATCTGAAGCGATTTTTGGTGATAATTTCATTTGTTATACAAATAGATAAGCAGTAGCGAATTATATTTTTGGGGTTAACTTGAAATTAACTATATTTCCAATTCACTTTATTCGCAAATGTTAGTATATTAAAAATTGCAGTAAGCTAATTTGTCAAAGTGTGCACATTTGTAGTTTTTTTAGATAGTTTTTCAATACCGAATAGTTTATTATTCATCCCTACGATTTTCGCAAAAAAATTAATTTGGAAAAAAAATTTCCTGCAAAATTATATTTTGATATTTCAACTCTCTGTTTTTCATTTTTAATATCGAAGAATAAATAAATAATATAAATTAAAATAAAAAATATAAAAATAATTAATAATAAATAATATAAGTATACATTTATATCAAGAAATTTATATTTTAGAAACAAATAAAAACACAAACTTATAAATAATTTTTTTTGAAAATAAAATATATTTCATAGTGATTTAAAGGCGGTTTTATTTTGTTTTCAACATAGTAGTTATATAAACGCGTATATAAAAAACAGTGTCTGAATAGTGAAGATAAGGCGAAATATCTAAAAGTAATAAAAAAAAAATAATTTATCGTTAATAAAAAACAATTCATTTGAATTGTCATCAAATTAATTATAATAAAAAAATTTACTCATAAAGTAGAAAATTAATATTGTAATTAAATTGATAAATGATTACACTTATTATGTGAGTATTTTTTGAATTATTATTTAAAATTAGGTTGTAAAATATCAATAGAAATTAAAGAAAGACGTTTTGAATAAGCGTTAAAAAAAAATTAAAATAATATCGTTTGACAATATTATAATTGGAAAAGGGTTTTTGAATTATAGTATAAAGTATTAAAATGGTTCTTTTAATGTATAAATTATGAACATAATAGGTGTCGATTTTACCCTCATAACGATAACCTTTAAGATGGAAAATAACGATGTGTCTGCTGTCTAGTGATTTATGGGATGTAATATAGGTTAGAATATTCGTCAAATATTTTAAACACGTATATTATTGTTAGGCGAGAATAATATTATTTTGTATTTTACATTATCTTTTTCCTTTCTTTGTATACCTATTAAGTATAGGTATACTATGCGACAGTATAAATACAGTTTTTTTTCTTTTTTTTCTGTTTACATGGAAACTAAAATATTGGAAAATTGTATTTGCAGTATGATATATATACTCGATTAGAAATATTTATTCAAAACTATAATTTATATCTTAAATAGTACAATGTAGTGGTAAAATGAATATTGGATAAATGTAATGAACGCATTATGATAATAACATGTACTGCGTCTGGAATTCAAATGAAAAAAAATTTTTTTTTCTGTCCGACTGGAAACGGTATTATCATCGGTGCAATGATTGTAATGACAGCGATTTTTATTTAAGTATTTTGTGAAATTAATTCACAAGAAAAAATGTTCAAAGTTATATTAGTATTTTAATCAGTGCCATGATTTGAGGTAGTCAAAGGGTAAGTTGCACTTGTGAATATTTCACTCAATCTTAAAAGAACTTTTTTTTTTTTAAAAAAAATGATGTGTTGAAAACCAAATACATAATTTTTTTTGAGCAAATAGTTATAATTTGAACATATGTGAACATCTTTACCCCGCCTTTGGTTAAAATATAATTGTTAAGAACAAATAATTATTCGCATTACGTCCTATAAAATTTAAGAAATCGTCTGTGTCTTTGTTTTCTTATCTTTAATTCGTTTACTTATAGCTTAATGCAAGGGGTACACAAAAAAAAAAAAAAAAACTGGTTTGTGATAGAAAAATATAGAATTTAATTTATTTAAAATTGTTCGTTTTGAGTATTGTTCAATATTTATTAAGTACCTATTGTATTTTTATTATATAAAATTGAATTAATCATCAGAAAACTTGTCATGAAATGTACCAGAAGTTTTTAATCTATCAGATTAAATTTAATTATAAATAATAACATATTATACGATAGTAATGGTTATTATGAAAAAAAAAGTTCATCAAATTTGTACAGGAGAGTACACGAAGTTTTCGAAGCGAGTGGTCAGGAGGCACGCGAATGTAACGCTGGTAAACGCTGGATATTGTCTTCGGCTGAAAGTTTGGAAATTAATATGTTTTCCACAGACAAACGAGATAAAATCGTCTAGAATATGATTCTCGCGCCTGCACGGGACAGGGATAACAATTATGAAAACGGTTCGTATTATAACAATTTAAGATTGTTAATTTAAGACTACGATTGTTTAACGTCAAATGAATGGTCGCGTGATGACGTGTGTGGGAGTAAAACAAATTATCGCGTTCGTGTGAAATGTTCACGACGTGTACATTTCAATAACGTTGATTGTGCAATAATAATTTTAATTAGTGTACAAAGTAATGTAATTAACACCAACATATTAAGTGTAGTAGATTAACTTATAATAGGTGAGCTTCTCTTATTCCACGTTTTACTGATTTTCGTAAAACGACATTAACTTCTTTCAAAACAAAAAAAAAAGACCACCTTATTCTGACAACATCCGTTATTTTATGGCAGACAACAGTTTAATTATACAACTATATCTTTTCGTGCATCGCATAAAACGCGAAACACATAAAATATAAGTCTCTCGCAAAGATTTATTTTATTATTATTATTATTATTATTATTAATTAACGACGTTAAACAAAGCTCTTCGGTATTTCTATCGAATACTGTCAAATATCAACTTAATTAAATATAAATCATTATTGGACTTTATATCCATTTTATTATGTAATTTTAATTTGATTAAAATTCATGGTACAAATATTATCGAGAAGTTTGAATTAGTAGTTTTAGTTCTGTATACCATATAGTTTTTTTTTCTTAATTTTGATGTAACTTCATTAACTATAACATTTATTAACGTTCATTGTTGTTTTCCTAATAAACCAGAGAAGATATAATTTTATATTAATTTTCATGAACAATATAGATTTGGCAAAATTAATTTATTAGGATAACGAATTTTTTGACGATTAATAGTTGTTGACTCGTAATTAATAAAAAAAAAAAAAAAATCGTAATATTTTTAACGTAGCGGTAATAAAACGGAGGTGATATTTGTGATATTTGTGATTTTAAAAACTTTTGTGTGGAAATAAAGACAAAGAAAACTAACCAAGTACATATTCAAAAGTAAAATGTGATATAATTGTATTTTTAAATAATTAATCATTTTAAGAATTTCCTAGAAAAACCACTGCACACGTTATTTTGGTGTCCCGATCGTCACAATATTTATGAAAATAGATGAATCGTATAGGTATTGAGTTCACATGTAGACATTTCACTTTTCTAGAGAATTTTTATTATAGTAATTTACATAGCTTACAACATCTAACGCATAGGAAATTAAATATAAAAAATAGTTTCGTAATAATTGGATTATATCGCTGATATTACAATAAAAGTAATAAGTTGACTTGATAGTTTTGTAATTTTTTTTGAAGTGAATACTTCTTATGCGAGTCCAGACCCGTTTAACGCTCAGCGTTAAATGCACCCCCCCCCCATCACTCCTACCTACTATGTGAGAGTAGAGTGTGGAGCGATATAGTTGACCTTGACTTGCAGTCTGATTAGTGTAAATACTTCTCATAAAAAAAAAAAAAATCCTCAAATGTTAAATAATTGTTGCAAATTTGTAACTCAATAAAAACTTATATTCAAAGCTACATAAAAGCTAACAGAGAAATCATTGTATCAAGCTCATCAAGAATTGGGGATATATGTGCTGTAGAATGCAAAAAGAAATATGTTTCGGATTGTCAACTGATATTGATAGCTATATACATTTTACTCATCGTATGTATGCGAGATATAAAGCTCTTTGTGAGTAAGGCGTTACTCGAGGAAATAACTGGTGAATCGGTATATTATTGCGATCGACCTGTAGTTTTGACAGGAGATTTGAATGTAAACTTTTCATTGCCAGAGGCTTAACCATTGCTCGATTTCTTTGAAAAAAAATTCTCTTTGAGAATGATAAACAGTAGAAATTATCCTACGACTAAAGATGGTACTACCATTGATGGTGTATTTACCAGGAAACTTGAAAATATAGAACTAAAGCATTTTGTATCATACTTCAGTTATCATAATCCCATTAGTATTACCAGACTGACAGAAAAGCAAACTGATGACAATTCCATAAATATTTAAATATTTATTACATACATTTTATATTTGCCAATAAAACGAAAGTTAATGAAAATGTTACAGAATGTTGATTTTCTTATGTAATAATATTTTACTGTAATTATATTTAAATATCAGATAAAATCATTCCCTTCTTTACTACTCCTTAATAAAAGTATTCACTTCCGACGTGCATGATTACACACAAACAGTTATTTTTTTGTTTACTCTCAATATTTTATTTCCGTATCGAATTTGTTCTTTAACTAAACATCGCGTTGTTGTGATTGTTATGAACTTTTCATCCTGTAGACCAACCAAACATACATTTTAGTTGGCATTTATTATATTTTGATAGGTTACTGATTTACAGGCATCTTTGAACTAGATATTATGTATTTGGCTATAATTCAAACATCAAAGTTAGCAAAATTAGTTATATGACTTACGACATTCGGATAATGAGAAAAGAATTCGAATAAGTTTATAATTCTCAATCTTAAAAGTTGAAATAATAATTACTTTAGTTTTATTTTTTAAGTAGTAGAAAATAAGCAATTTATATAGAATTTGGTCGGTTCCACAAATAGTGCTTGAAAAAACGATAATAATTACCTTTAACTATGATTGACCGGAGAAAATTTGTTTATTTGAATTTCTTGATATTTTGAAACGAAAATGTTGCAGCTTGCTGTGAATCGGTATACCAAATCGTTACATTTTCGCGCATCAATCAATCACTTGCGTGCAAAATTCTTTTAAGCCCAGGAGAAGCAAGCTAAGTATAAGTTTTTACGACCAGAAACGGATAACAGTAGCCTGGCACGAGTGGAAAACATTTTGTTCAGACCGAATCGCCTGTCGGCAGGCCATTGGACGCCCGATAAACTACGTGGAATTTTGTCGTAAAAAAAAAAAAAATAACCAAACGTTATCGTACCGTCGCTAGAATAATTTATTCAGATGTTAACGTGTACCAAGGTACCATAGTATTATTTAGACGAATAGATATGTGTAGTGTACGTGAACTAACCTAAAACAGTTGAGAACGATGTCGATCAGAAATTTCAAAATATTGACTTTGTGCGCTGAAAAAAGTATTGAAGCGTTCAATTTTAAATTGTGCATCCCTACTGTACGGATCCGGATCAAGATAAGCAAGATATGGGGGGCTTTTTTGAAATTTAAAGGGCACACGTCACCCGCGATCACTAATATGGCTTAAAATATGTATTAATTATTTATAGGTTTTATTAATTTTAAATGTATTTTAAACAGTGATCGATAAGTTTATGACGTCCAAAATATCCAAACTCTGTTTTTTTTCTAACTAAAAAGAAATCCAGTCTAAAAGTCGACGGTATGTGATCGGCATTATTCATTTATATATAAAAAAAAACGCTACACATGAATTGCGTCCCAAAGATATTTAACGACTACACGAATTGCGTCCCAACCATATCTAACAACTACCCGAATTGCGTCCCAACGTAAAAACATTATTTTCCTTCTCATTTAATACAGACTTAGGACTGTCGATAGTAAATTACGACTATCGGTAGGTTAAAAATATTGTTTTTTTATCATTGTAATACAATGAGATGTAAGTAAAATAAAATGTGTAAGTTAATAATACAATAGTTTAAAAAAATATATATATATATATATATATAAAAAGTTATAATGTGTGCTGAGTAAAACATACTGTTAATCTTGGGGTGGAAGGCTTCACAACTATTCGTAGTTCGAATTATAGAACATGAGTACATTGCCCATACAGAAGGCGAGAAGTCACAATCAGGCTTTATGTATGTATTTAATATATAATCGGAAAATTGCTGTACTATTTCATTTTCGGGTAAAATGGATACAATATCGTCAGTAAAACAATCCTCCACTTCATCTGGTTTTAAAAATGGGAGACCAAAAAAAATATTTTAAAAAAATACTGATATCTGAATTTTTTTTGTATTCTTGATTTAAACCAATCGTTTGAATTTTCCTCCGCCAACTGTGACCTATATAAAACCTGCATCCTTTCATTTGAACTGATGGCCACACGATTAACAAAGATGAGTGGATTGCTTTTTCAAAATCGGCATATATTATTAAGTCATTTTATAGTGTTTTTAGAGTTTAAGTTTTATTTAACAGAGGATGAAGGTTACACAAACGTTTACACCAACACACGATCGAAATCGAACTAAAATTATTATAGGCTTTACAGTACGTTTATCGTTCATGCGATCGTTTAAACAAAACCGGACGCAATTCATGCAGTAGATTAGATAATGCCGGACGCAATTCGTGTACCCGCTTATCAAATTTTCTATTTTGGGACGCAATTCGTGTGTAGCCAAAAAAAATTTACGATAAAATGTTCGCATCCTAATACCACGGTTGCCTTGGCGGCGCGTTTGGGGTCGTTACTAGGGTTCGGTTTCGGTTGATTTTTCGGTCGGTTCGCGCACTGCGAATAAATTACAATCAATGGCAATCATATTATCTGCCAGCGGCACTGATCGTTGCGTTGAGTCGACGAGCGGTGGCAAAACGATTTTTAACTGTACCACTGCTGCGGCGGCGATGCGTTTCGTGCGCGGTTTATGCGGAAAAATACGTCGTCTTAAGGTACGATTCCTATGCACGCGTCTTGAGACGCGCGGCCAACGCGGCGCGATTTAATTTTAGCCGCGCCGGCACTACTTTACATGTTTTTAAATATAACCGATTCCTATGATCGCGGCGGCCGCGCGCTTCTACAGCCGCGCGGCGACGACCGCTTCGAGAGCAGTCAAATCGCACGAGACGCGCGGCCAGAAGCTAATTATTCGTATTTTAATTTTCAAAGTTCGAGATTTTGCGAACACTGTGTGACACAAAATGTCTTCAAAAGTGTCATTTACTGTGGAAGAAGACATACAATTGGCTGAATGTGTTAGGGAACATCCATGTTCGTATGATCTAAAAAATGCCAACTATAAAGATCAATAAATAAGGGACAATGTATGGAAGCTTATATCAAATAACCTGAATAATAAAAGTGGTAAGTAGTATACCCTTTCAAATTTAATAAAACAATTAATAACTTTGTTTGTTTTATCATATCTTTATAATTTAAAAACTATGTACGATTTTATTCATGTTTATTTTTAATAATTTTATTATGATGTATTGGCATTTTTAAAAGTTCTTTTGTTAATTTTATACTGCATTATTAATTTTTATTAAACGAGAAGTTAAACACAATTTACTATGAATAAAAATGGTTTTATACTCATTATTTAAAAATTAATATTATCTAGGTATATTATGAAATGTAAATTATACTACAAACATATATTATGTTAAATTACCTCAGCGTGATTGCTAGTTTTAGCCGCGCGTCTTCCGACGCGTACATAGGAATTAATATTAGACCGCGTGGCTAAATAAATGACCACGCGGCCAAAATTCAAATCACGCCGCGCAGTCGCGCGTCTCTAGACGCGCGCATAGGAATCACACCTTTACGCTTTTCGATACTCGCATTGCCGTCTACTACACGCAGACCCGACTCGAGGGGTAGACGACATAGGCCCACGTCTAGGGTGGAATTTAACATTTTTAAACCATACATTACTATTATAGATAAACTATTTAAACTTCTATATTTAAAAAAAAAAGATATCAATCTTAGTACCTACTCATATCGAATTATGTGTAGTAAAAAATAAGACCCTATAAAATGTTTCGTTCTATTTAAATTAGTAGTGGTTTACTTGTCTACAGACATATTGATCTAATCAATTGTTATCTTTACATATATAAATATAATGAACTCAGAATTAAGTCTATATTAGTATTGCCTAAGTAAAAAAAAAAATTCATGTAGTATTTACATGTAAGGGATGGCAATACTTATGTTTGCCTAAGTGTGAACAAACATTCGAGCCGGGCCTGACTGCACGTGTACGGTATGACCTTAAAACGGTATAAAAGATGTACGCGCGTTCGCGTCGCGAGCTGGCAAATACGCGAAACCGTTATACTGTGGTGTGAACCGTTTACGTCGTTTCTCTGTACTTAAATCTCTGTACGTAGCGAAAATACGAATAAAATAATATTTCCGCATCCTAACGGCAGGGTTTGATTTTTACTTTTCTTACACCCGCGTACTTCGCGATCGGACATTTTTATCGTTTTTTTTTCGCGTACGGGTGAGAACGCGAGTTTCTAAATAATGTGAATCAAAACACATGTCATGGTCGCGTTAAAAACGTCTCCTTTCCGTATTACTATATGCGTTTAGATTTTGAAATCATTTGAACCGAACGGGATTTCGATCAAATTTTCGACTAAGACTGGATAGCATTAAACGTTGTTTGAAATATTAAGTAGTACAAACAAAAACTATTCAAACGAAATCCATAAAATAAAGATAATATGGTCAAACAAATTTTTTTTCGTGATACATCATCGTATTGTACGTTATTGTTACACCGTCCTATTAGTCGTTTGATTGGAATGAATTCTTACGTAATTTAGTATATTTTTTATATTTTTTATTATTACGTATGTTCCATTTAATTATATTCAATATTTGATGAAATAATTTTTCCGAAAGTTTTTATAACAGATATAACAGAGTTTCCGATTTCTTAACGGAAAACCGCAACCATAGAAGTAATACCGTTTTACTACGAATCGTTACATTGGAAAATACACTTGATGTTCACTTATCCCGATTTTCGGAAGTGTATTATTAATCGACACTACAATTAAATTGTACGGCTATAAATGATACCGAAAGCGAGCAACCGAGGGATGATTGCCGAAAGTTAACTTCGCGTCTTGTACGATATCGTTTTAAATATAATATTAAATGACCGACGATCATCAAGGACAACGGTATTTGAGAGGAAAGTTTTAAGAAAAATATATTGATCGGTATTTGATAGTGAAACGAATTAATGGGGAAAATTGTATAATTATGAACTCCAAATGCAGTTTCAAACACCTGATATAGTTAAGGAGATCACAAAAAGAAGGCTCAAGTGAGGAGGCCACCTCAAAGGTGTACTCACCGAGCATTTTAAGCACTTTCGATGACGAGTTGGCCCTGTACTCCGGCGACGAGATCTTTTTCTCGCCGCAGGACGACCGCACCGTTATCGTGCGCTTCAGCTTGTCCGAGCGCCGGAGACGCAGCCCGATGAGCGCGTACAGCACCGTGATGAACGTCATGGGCAGCACGAAGAACAGTAGCGTGGAAAGCGTAAACGAAACCGTGGACAGTTTCACGTCGGTATCCATCAGCTGTATCGTTTTGATGTTACACTGCGTCACCTCGGGCATGCCGTCGTACGACGAGACTGTGAACTGCAACGCCTGCAAATAGTCACACGTCACCGGTTTTCGCATTATTATTGTTAATTTTAACCTTTTTCGTAAGAAATTTGCGCATCGTTCAATTTTTGGGTTATACATCGATTTTTACTATAGAACCAACAAATGTGTATATACTACTCAGGGCCAAAGCACACCACAGGTGAAATAAATAGGTTTCATTTTGTAAAAATGATGGGACACAACAATGTACCAAGTATTGCTTTGTAAAAATATTTTTAGCGCCCAATGTAGTTATGTATTTATTTATATTTATTATCAATTAATTTTTACTCAAACTATATCTTATGTATACATTTTGTATTTAACTATAAATTTGCTTAATTGAAAGAACACATTTTTTTTTAAAATTCATTTTTAATAAAATAATCAAATTCTTTATAAATTATTAAAATCTTAAAATTACAGATTAATTTGTATTAATTATATAATTATACCATACTTCTATTGTTCGGTATGTTAATGTGCAAATGACGTACGATATTTTGGTACAGGTAAACAAACGATACGCAAATGCTTTACGGCCGTCACACGCACACGTGACGGAAACGGTTTTTCCACGACCCCACTATCCCACTACCGCCGCGGCGACCGGAACTATCGTGTATGTGGGTAGGTTCGTGTTTTGTCCGACACGTCTATGATGCGATACAATCCGGTTAGAAACGATTTTTTCGTGAAGAGAAAATTAAGGACGGAACGATCAAAGCAAAAGGGATGATGTAAAGGAGGACGTCGAAAGAACAGAATATTTCCGGCACCGAAAAATACACTATTGCGACAAACCGAACGCTCATACGATTAACGTTTCGAAAAACGAATAAATGAAAAATAGAAATAAATAATTATTTTCGACACGGAACTAGAGAACGATTTTCCAAAGTTTCTTCTATTCCCCTCGGGATTCGGCGTACCTATAATTTACGTTGTATATTTATAATTACTTCTAGTCGCAGCGAGGTAAAATTTTATTGAAGTTCATTATCTTACCCTGACGTACGCTATAAAATAGTACGGTAGATTATTATTTTATTGAGTATAAGATGAACGGAAGAAAAAAGTTCGAGATGTAGATACCAAGCTTTATCAAATACAATTTTTCGAAATTGGGTTAGAACTTAATTTGAGATATCGATATTTGATACAACGGTAATTGAATATTTTATCTATAATTAGATATTTGAAATATATTAACTCGATGGACTTATTTTTTTTTTTATCATTTGGTTTCGTCAACTCGTAATGAATAATTCACTATAACAAATTGAATTCAGATCGGAATGGTTTTTTTGTGTTTAATTTATAAATATTTACTTCAGTTATTTGTTAAATTTGTATAACCTTATCATTAACCTTGCGACAAAAATGTAATACTTTTCTAGTGATGAAAACTTATTATTATTTTTTTAAATAATTTTAATAATTAAACATATTATATTATTTACTGAATTTCAAAAATTTAAAACTAAGTCATTACTATGAAGAATTTATATGTATGAATCAAATTTACAAGTGATTTATATATTATTTATTTTTATTGGAAAGATATTTTATTGTCTATCGATATTCGTTCACGGGTATTATATATTAAAACGGTGGTCACAAACGTTTGTATTTATTAAATTGACAAAAATCTTAATTTTATTCATGTATTTTCCTTCGAGACCGATCCATCAAACGAGTGAAACAACTAAACTTTACAAAGCGCTTGCATTACATAAAACGTATGCAACACATTGCAAAGTAAAATTATTACCGAGCAGTAATATTCTCGTAAAATGTAATGGGAATTTGAAATGTTTCGGGGTTTATCTAATTTTCGTGATTAATTATCATCAAACAATCAATTATTTTAACGTTATAATATTCGGATCGAATATACAGTTTCAATTCCTACTACAGCATGCTGCTGGTCTGTCAATAGGCTTAAATTTCAGATTTTCTTCTAAGTGCTCTTCTTGTGATGATTTTTCTATTAATCTCTTTATTCGATACTCTTAAATTTAGTCTTTACTGGGTAACGTACTCTGTCATATATAACCGTGGTCATTATATTATATTTCACGATCCGTAGCGTGATAAATGTAAAACAGCTTAAATTAAAATTAAAATTAGTTGTACAACGTTAGTAAAATGCCGCTATATTTTATTATGTAAACGCCGTAAATGTTTGTTAACAAAAGACAATTTACGTAGTCAGAAAGTAATTATTTTAGTATGTTCTTGGATGGTTTATAGACAAAACTTTGTAAATATTATAGTTTGCGCATAGTTAATAACTAATCATTAATTCGAATTTCGTTAGCGGCTACATCGATAAGCGAATATTAATAATCCTGTTGTGTAAATTATCGAAAATGGACTCGTATGCTTCACTGTTTTCTTGTTTAAATTATTTTCTTCTCGTATACCAAATATTTAATTAATTATTGCAAGTAAAATACAATAACCGGGTTCTTCGTTACCAATTAATATAATAATAAGAAAACTGTTATAAATCTCCATAAATTTTCTAGTAATATATTTAATGAACTTATTATGTTCAAACAATAAACTCGTTTAGTATTATTTTGCGCATTAGACAAAGGTTGGAATGGTATGACGAAATTCGACGTTTTTGTTACCGGCCCTGTACTTGTGGTTATATTTAGAAGATTCTAACGCACGGACAGTCAGACCTTTATTATTTATGACCAACGTTTAATAAACTATCAATTTCAAGGGATTCGAATATAAATTAATATGCTGGTGTAGGCGTTCGAAGATTATTACAGTAGGTCGACGGCTTAGAATTAAAATATCTCCACAGTAATGTACAACAATAGATAAGGGTCTCTAGAAATTTAACAGCACTTGAGCATATTAGAAAGCCTATTGTGATGAGAGAAGGAAGTATTAACAAATTTCGAATCAACAACAATAGTATAAATTAATGTTAGTGTCCATGGAAACTTTATTTGATGTATACCTTCAAAACTCGTTAGTGACAAAACAAGTAAAATATAGTCTCAAACAGAAATGTAAATTACATAAAAGAAACACGATTAAGGAGCATAGAGAATTAGAATAGTTTAGAATTATTGTTTATGAATGAATAAATTTAAATTAAAAAAAACATAGTTTTTTTTTTACTATTTAATGAAGAAAATATACGATTTATGCTATATTCACAATAAGCAAATGTGGTAAAATAAAACGGATGAATAATAAAATAATATCTGAAGAGAGAGAGAAAGAAACCATTCGGTAATGTATCCTATTAGATTAAATAGGTACTCGTAAAATGTAATAAACGTTTTCTATTATCCTTTTTACCAAATTCCTAGTCATTCAAAATTATTAAGTATTTTCAAACTATAAAATTTATATTATTATATAATCATTGAATGTAATATATATTAGTTATTGATAGTATTTTATTTCAATTTAGCTATAATGCTATTTCGAAACGAAAAAAAGAAGCAAAAAATTGTATTCATCGGAAATACATGTTATAAAGTTTGCATATATTTTAAGTAAGTGACACGTTGTTTTTCTTTTAAAAGTATTGCCGAAAAAAATATTTCATAGTTTTTATTTATTTCAAAAATCAATTTAAAGGGTTCTAGACACAAACTGAATTTATTATTGTATTATATACATATTGTTATATCATATTCGGAGAAATACATTTATTTTCAACAGATGGTTTGGTCATTTTTATTTCGGAAGGTTCATAATACGGGTTATTTGATAAAGAGTTTTGAATGATTTTAAGTAACGACTAGTTTTGAATTTTATTTCTATAAATGTATATTCATGTAAGTAAACGATCTAACCATATAATGATGATTTAAATGCTAGTTATTTACAAACAAACGCTGGTCTCAGTGTGAAAACTCTTAAGTAACTTATCAGTGTTAAAAACGTGAGCATGAGTTATTATATCTAAAAAATACATTTATACATATTTTCTATCTGAGAAAATTATATATTATTAAGATATTTAAATTTTAAAAATAATATTTGCGTTTCTTTTGTTTTAGAAAAGACTAAATGCATTGGCCATATTCAACATTTATAAGGAAGTTGAAATGAATCAAGTGATAGATAAGTTAGCTAAAAATCAAGTCGACTGAAATTTATTTTATAAAATTATATTTTATTATGTAGTATGAAATACAATATATATATACTATAACATACGACTATATGAGTAAATAAACTTCTAATAAGCTATCCTAGTTTATATAGATTATGCATAAATTGTAGACCCCTTCCAAAAAAATTTGAAAATACGACACTGAAAAACATAATATTTTTTTTTATTTCATTATTGATTTTTGTTTTTATAGATTTCAGTAAAATAAATAAAAAGTTAAGTAAAAAAAAAAAAAAGTATACGTAAAATATAAATGGATTTCGATAACATTTTGAATACGATCGAAATAATATTTGGTTTTGTTTCTACAGATCAATCAATATTTAATAAATAGGTTAACAAATCAATAATCCGTAGTTGACGGTTTATTCAGATAAAAATTATGCGATATCTTTGTAAGTAAATTCTAAAAATGATATAGAATTTCGCAAACCAAACGAATATTAATACATATATAGAAAACCGTATAAGCTTAATGCAATATTTGTATTACATTATTGTCAAAACAGTATTAAATATTCACATAGGATCTTTAGGATTTGGAATAAGATTTTATCGGACATAACTTGGTTTACTTGAAAATTTTTAAGAAGAAAATGCGCTTTCGTTCAAAGCATTTGACAATGATTTTATAACGATCGAGTCACGGATGAATTAGAAAATCAAAAAGCCACCACGCTGAATATCGAATATTGAAATCGACTATCCTCTCACGATCGAATGCTTCCCATGACTACGGGATTTTTGAGACTATGTGTTACCTTCACTTAAAAATCTTCGTATTGGTTAGACAGTTTTGGATAAGAACTTTATCCTACGGATAGACGTACTTGCGCTTTCGGCGGACGACCGCGCGTCGTGTGCTCAATCGGATATTGCTTAGGAATCAAACACGATAGCTATTACCGTTTTTGAAAACGATTTCGGGACTTTGCTTTTCGAAGAAAAGCAATTTTTAAAACGGCGAACAGCAGAAGAGTTGTATAATATCTCTTTCGCTTAATTAACGCAATGGTTTTCAACTTAGGGGTAGCAACCCCCAAGAGGATCGCGAATCATAGGTTTGCGGATCACCAAAAATAATGGATGAAATTATTTTTCCATATTATTAAAAATAAAATAAAGTCAAACGCATCGTATTGAGTATCACAGTATTGAGCCATCATGTATCGAGGATAACGTTTCAACATCCGTCCATCGATCACAGTGGTCGGATGCTCAAACCACTAGTGATCAACACTAGAACTCTCGGGGATCCGAGGGGAGGTGCGCGGTAGTGCAACATGATTGCTCAATTTTTCCTTTTTTGACCCGACTAATTGCACTACGATTGCGCAAAAAATGTGTAACATGATTGCACCCCTAGCCTTTTTTACCTGATAAAATCACAACACCATTGCTTATCAAATTATATGAGTATATACTATACTATGTATAATAATTTATGTACAACATAAAATAATGTATATAATACATACTTTCTATAGTTTGGATATACATGCAATCAAACTATTAATTCACAAAATGTACATTTTCAAAATCGAAATGAAAAGTTGATTGAGCTAATGATAGTTATAATAATAATATCGACTAATAACTCAGTAAAGAAAAAAAACAATTTTTAACCAAATCAACGATGATAATATGTTGACAATCCTAAGCATGTAATAATTGTGAAGGAAAATTATGAATTAATAAGTAATAATATGTAGATAAATTATAATACTTATACATAGTATCAGTGGCGTATACAAGGGGGGTGTTTGGTAGATATGACACCCCCCTTGAGTCGTATCATATATTACATTATTATAGGAATATAAATAAATCGATAATACAATATGAAATATAAAATGATACACACTACTAATTACATATATACAGGTTAACATTATCGCGATTGCGACAATACGTAACGAAAATTATTCGTTTACGTTTTCGTGCAACACAAAACGTTTAATAATAATAGGTATTGTAGCATCGAATACTGATATTCGAATAGTCAAATATTCGAATAATTTATGGTAAAGCTATCCGAATTCGAATATACATTACATCTCTTTTACAGACATTATGTATACATATTAATTAATTAAAATAAAAGTTTTAGTTTGTACGTATTATATATAATATTTAATAATTATAATTAACACCCCCCTTCAGAAAATCCTAGCTACGCCACTGCATAGTATATACATATTATTATTTGGTGCGCAATGGTGTTGTGATTTTATCAGGTAAAAAGGGATCAGGGCGCATTCGTGTTGTAAATTTTTTGAGTAATCGTGGTATAATTAGTTGGGTCGAAAAAGGAAAAATTGCACAATTGTGTTGCAGCCGCGCGCGGACGGGGACGAACGGCTGATCGCGGACACGCTCACCTGCGGTATGGCGAACATCACGGCCACCAGCCATATGATGACGATGAGCTTCACGGCCCGGGACAGTTTCGACATGCTCTGTGCCATGAACGGATGGCAGATGGCCACGTACCGCTCCGCCGTGAACGCCGTTATGGTCAGCACGGTCGCGTTGGCCGACATTTCGGCGAACAGCCCTCGGAGTTGACAGAATATCTCGCCGAATATGTATGGGTACCTGTGAACCGGGTGATTTTTTTTTTTTTTTAGTACGCGTGGCCGGTAAATAATAAATAAATACACTCTATCGGCAGCTGCTTGCGACAAGCGTTAGAAAGCCACAACGCCGACAGGAGGTTTTCCGGGGCCCGGGGCAAGTTTCGTAACGGGGGCCTAGAAATGTTTTTCATGAACGCAAAATATATTGTCTTGGACGCCCTCTAGTACTCGTACGCTGTATTTTTCCAATTGTACATGAATTATGTAAAAACATTTTTTCTTTGCACGGACATTAGGACGCTAATCAGGAATAATTTGGACACTAATGAGCACTATATTTTATCATCAAAGCGTTAACAATATATTATTATCTATTAATTGATCATTATAATACTGTTTATATTACAATAAAGGTGTTTACTGAACATAATATTAAAATCAGAGATTAAAATACTAGTTACATTTTCACATGAGAGGAACAACATATTATTTGATTTTAAAAACAATATTGTATAGTAGGCTTACAAATTGATAAATTTCATGAAAGTCATGGGGTCCCTTAGTTGGCAAGGTCCTGGATAGCCACCCCGTCTTCCCTGCCTTTCCACCAGCTCTAGGTGTTAGGTTAGGTTGAAAAACGTGTTGATCCCGGAAAGGCGTATAATCACGAAACCGTGATGGTGCATGGGTATCGTTTGAAAACCGTGGTCGATATGACAGGATGTGTGATAAAACCCGAGCGCTTTCATAATATTAAATGTTCGCATTTGCTTAACGGCACGAGTGGACTGCAATTTAATTTATCGTATGCGTGCACGTAAATACATACATCTATGACGGTTACGGCTCTAGCCTTGGGAAGACCTTGGACACTGACGGGATGGACCGTTTGGGGTAGGACGTGTTTATTCAGATAAAATCAACTAAAATTAATCAGAAATTTCGAGAACCCTGAAAACGAAAAGAAAAAAAGAAATTGAACACGAGTGACTTGAGGTGCAGTTTCTTCAATATAAGTTTCAAACATTCTATTGGTGATAAAATTGTTAAAACCGAAACATATTTCTTTACGATAAAATTTACGTGTTTTATTATCGAAAAATAAGTTGTTTGACAATGGGCTTCTTTATTTTATCGTATTGATTTACAATACTTATTGTTGAGCACACGTCGACTTTTAAGACAATAATATGAGCAATCAAATTTTTGACTTTTAACTTAATCAAATAGATAATTTTAATATTAGATATTCAAAGCGTGTATGTGGTTGTCATTAAAAAAAATATCGCGTGGCTGATGTATCTATTATAATGATATGTAAATCAACGAAGACAGTATCCGAAAAACTTTATCACTACCGAATTGTATGACCTAATCATCAAATTTGTCTACATATTATTATTATGTAGCAATGGAAGAAAATATATATTTATATTGTACTATATAATATGAATTAATATGTGTAACACTATATTGTAATTATTTTAATAATATGAATTAGGTGTACATAATAGAAAATGGCTATTGAAAATATGTCCTTATTAAACTGTTATATATAATATGTGTATGTGTGTGTGTGTGTCCAACCTATTCCACTCCAAATCAATGTACATTAATTTATATTTATTTTAAAAAGTAGGCAACAATGTTAAAATAATTCTAGTAACATTATTTTCAAAATATCACAATTATTGAATTCGATTATGAGTTTATACTTTACTGATCGAATCATATTATTTGTCATATAATAGCAAATTCTTAATTTACTTTTTACTGTAAGACATTTTTTCCATTTTTCAATCCTCAAAATAATTATTGCCGTAAAAAGAAATACACTTATGGAAAAATGCTTGAAAATTATCGAAAAGCAAAGTAAAAATATATAAAATATTCGAGAAATGTTTTCAACTTTTACGTAATATCATTAAAAGCGCCGGCGTAATTATTAGGATTTAATGTGGTTTGGACGGGAAACGGATGTGTTTTACAAGGAAATTCGTAATAAAATATCGAACGTTCAGAAAACTCACAATGTTTGGGAGTAGCGCAGTGATTTAGTGTTTAAAACCATACAGTTACGAGTTTTTCGAACGAAATTTTTAAATTTTTCTAAACAGAAGGGGGAAAAAAATTACAAAGCGATCGTGTGAACAACTGCGAACAATAATAACGTTGCAAATGGTTTTCACTCACTTGGACCAAATCGACCACATCTCTTGCGGGAGCCCGGACACTAGCAGTATGAGATCGGATACGGCCAGACTGAACAAATAGTAATTGGTCGCCGTGTGCATGTACTTGTGTTTGGCGATCACCAGGCACGTGATGGAATTGCCGATGACGCCCGTCACGAATATCACCGAATACATGATGATCATGGGCACGACGATGTACAGCGGATCCCGTTTCGGCATCAGGAAGCTGCCGCTCTCGGCGCTCATGTTACCGCCGTCACCGTGCAGCGACATCACACAGCTGTGCTCGGAAAAGATTAATAAAATCAACGATTTAGAACAAAATATATATAATAAAACTAAACACAGTACACTGGACCGAGATCAAATCATGTTAAATCGTGTAAAGTTTTGACGAACGAGTTTCCCTAATAATAGAACGTCGAAACACGGATGTCTGTTTTACCTTTTTTTACGTGGAATAGCGTAACACGATTGCAGATCTCTAAAAGATATTTCCATAGTTTGTTGAAATTTGCAATTTTCACAACTCTTAATTTGCTTTCTTGTTTATTTCGAGGTTTAATTAAAGGATTTTTTAATTTTTTATGAGTCTTAATATTAAAACAAGTTTCACTTTGCATTACTAACAATATACTGTATTAATAACTTTATGAATAAAATGACGTGAAGTTAAAAATTATGAGTTATAATATTGATAGAATGATTCAGGTCCGCTGGTTGTTTTCTCTGATGGTTTATCGGCCAATAAAATTGGTACAAAACGTCACGCATGATTTTCAAATGTAAGACCAGAAGAATCAAAGTTATCGGTAGGAGAATTTCCAATAAAATTCCAAAATACAACGTCGACTGTGTTATATATTAACATTTTCAAACGATAAGTTGGAAAAATGGTAAAAGGTCAATGCTTGGACTTCGTGTCGAATAATCGTGTCGCGTTTTTCGTTAGTTAAAAGTAAAATGGGTGTAATCATGTTATTTCTTAGAGCGCTATCACAATGCATTTTTTTACATATCAATGAGTAACTTAGGTGCAACTATCATACTGCCATAATAAAGCAGTATTGACTAATCTTTTTTTTTTTTTAATTATTACCTAGAGCCGTACAAAAATGAAATTTCCTCGGAGGGCTGAGAATACAATATTTTTTTTTTAGTTAATAAAAAATGAAAATTTAAAAATGTTATAGCGGGACTGTTACTTTTGTGCGTCAAAGTTAATAAAAAATGTGACGCACAAAAGTAACAGTCCCGCTATAACAGGATGTTTTATTTTATTTTATATTTTATATTGTATTTTATTATGTCGAAACGTAGTGAAATCATATCGCGATAACCAACCTTAATCACAAACGTCGGAAATTCAAGACCCTACTATAAGACGTCCATCTTCGTGCTGCAATACAACGACGATAATCATATAATAATATACTGGCCATGTTCGTTCCCTCCATTATTTTTACTTTTTTTTTTCGGCTATTGTGAATTGTTTCGGTTGCCAAAAGAGCTCTCTCATGCCCCGGCCACTGAACTGGTCATCGGTATTCCACTACGAAACGTTGTTTATTTATTATTATAAAATCTAATAAGTCCATTCTCTACGCTTCTATAATACTAACCAGCGGACCAGCGGAGTTACTCCTCTGGCGAAATTGTCTTTGAACATCGTCTTTGACGGATTGGATGTGTGCACTGATTTACCGCCTCGGAGTAAAATGTTGTTGAACATTATCATATAGATTAAAATCATTCTTACTATATATATATATATACATCATGTTCCTTAGACGATACATCCCATTATAATTATTATTAATTTCCCTTTCAGTTTATATAAATGTTTATATTCCATTGTGATAATCGAACGTCAATGTATATGAACATCGGCGGCCCTTCAAATGAGATTATGTTCGTACAACTAAAAATGAAACAAACATTAATTCTAATAATCTATTTAAAGTCTTTTGCTAAGTGATAATTCTTGATGATTACAAATGATATGGATTTGATATCATGTTTCTTAAATTTTAAAATTGATTCTCAAAGTACAACTTGTACTCAATTTGAAAAATCGTTATTCGTTTAACATTCAATTTCTATAAAAACGAAAAGAAAAAGAAAATCCAAAATTATAAGTTTACTGAATTTCCCATTTTCAGAATTCGACTCATGATATGATGGGGATACAAATAGGTTTTCGAAAATCCTAATCGCATCGTGTTCGATCGATCGGTACGTCGGATATCTTTGGAACAAACATATTTTATTATGCGTTGCGCGAATGTGTTGGACAGCAGAAATCGTTTTCAACTGCCTCGAATGCGGTCTTTTTTCTTTTTACCACTTAACGCATTCAATTCGTTGTACACGTATAGTCGAAACGACGATACTCACGCGAGAACGTGTTTGATATCTAATTACAATAACGAAAATCGGCAATATGGTCCGCCATTGCGCAAGGGGTGGAATTTATTTTGAACGATGACTCCAAAAACCGCACACTTTTGATAAAATTTAGAAAAAAACCACCCTTTTTTGGTAGGTGAAAACCGCACACTTTTTTAAATTCTTGTAATCAAAAACCGCACATATTATAATGTAATAATGTAATATTTATATGTAATGTTTATAATGTAATCATTACTATACTTAAAATCGTCAATTATTAAACACTTGCCTCCTTTATTACTATCAATTATTTTAAATTCCTTTTATAAAAAACACTTTTTTTTTATATAATATAAATATATGTATATAAACGTTCATTAGACCACGCGTTTTGGTCGACAAACGTACTGGTTATTTTTCGGGGCGGGTCCATTTTCCTCCAAAAACAAGATACCGTTTTCCTCCATAGTCTATTTTTCTCAAAAAAAAAAAAAATAATAATAATAATTCTTGACCATTTTCCTCCACTTTCCATTTTCCACCAAAAAATAAAATAATAAAATTGTACCATCGTAATATAAATCTGAAACGTTTTATCGCATAAAACAGAATTTGATTTTTTGTGGGTTAAGCCATTCTGGTTCTATGTACCTCAAATATAGTCTTATTGAAACGAGTATATTGTATATTTGTCTTTCTGTCTCACTCAACGATTGTAATCATAATAATCAGTGATAAATTATGATACACAATATAACAATATAAGTATATACATATATGCACGTATGTTATATTTACGTTTCTTTATTAATCGTAATCAAAGTTACAATATTAAGTTATCGACTGTTATAAATTGCGAGTGCTGTAGGACACTTGAACTAGCGTTTTTCCCTAGTTGATAAGAACGCGACTAGAATTTAATCATTAGATACGCACAAAATGTGATCCTATAACACTGGCTAAAATATTGGAGGATAAAAGACATAATTTTAGTCAAAAGTAATGTGGCGGAAAATGGAAGCCAATTTTTTTTTTTAGAGGAGGAGGAAAATGGACAGGAAAACGGTATCTCGTTTTTGGAGGAAAATGGCTACGGCCATTTTTTGAGCACATTAACGTGCGATAAGATAAGCTTTTGAATGTATCAATTAACTTTAAAATTATATATACAACACTCGTCTATACAAAATACATTATTATTAATATATTATATAGTGGGATTTCTTGTGCGGTATTTGGCTGTACGATATACTTACCTGGCAATCCATAATGTGTGCGGTTTTTTGTCTACCGACCTTTTTGGGATTAAAATCAAATGTGTGCAGTTTTTTGGATGCAACCATTTTTAATATCCTGCGCTGAAGATCGGCTCCGACGACCGAATTCCGTGACAATGTTTGAAATTCTTCAACCACTATGTGCTTATTTATAATGTGTGACATAAAACACAAAACCACACAAGTTCATAGACTACGGCACTTGAAATTTATTATCTATAGGTGTGCACTACCTATAAAGTCGTAATGTGTCATCGTAAACAATCATTAATGATTTATTAATACTATTCTATCCTCCAGCAATAATTTTACATTGTTGCGGGCACGTAACACTGATTACATAATTTTTTGTTTTATAGCACACACAATGTGCAACATAATGAGTGGAAAAATGTCTAAAATGTCTAAAATGAAACGCTAAATTTTTCTTGCCGTCATTAATTTTTACGGTGCTCTATAAATGCATAATACTTCGGATGCTTTAGGGCAGTTTTCTCATTCCCTCCTACTCCGGAACGGTTACACGCACACGGTTTTCTTTTTCTGCGGCGCACGCGATAGAATTGCAGAAATCTCGCGGTTCCCGGTCTACGCGTCTTGTGTTCGTCGTGCTCGCCAACAGACGTAAACGACGACGCGGTAGGGCTCGGAATATCCTCGGACGGTTTGGAATTGACGTTGCAGCAGATAGTCGTTTGCTCAAGTTTGAACGCTAATTGATTGGTGCCTCTGTTTTCGTGTTATAGAAAAATGTTCAACGAAGTGTTCGATAACGTATTCTCTAACTTCTAAGTTCGTGTTGGTTTATTTTTTTTTTTAATTTTTTTCCCCCGGTAAACTGCCCACGCGAAAAATCGTATGTTTTTATATTATGTACCGAACGTTTGTTATATACACGCGTACGTCAATTTGACTTTATAAATCCTGGCCGAATCCCCGTGCGGATGCACCTTCGTCTTGTCACGCGTTGTTTCTTCCGCGTCGCAATAACAATAACCGTTAAGCCGCAAATACATGTGCCCACGTGTAGTTTACAAATCGGTGGTTTGGAAATTCGAGAAAGTATAATCAAATTCGACTGCCTCGAAAAAAAAGTATCTTATCGACGGATAATTCGACGTTCTGAGAAAAACGACGGTTGGAAATTATAGGTAAAGAGGATTTTTTTTCGAATACGATAAGCTTGGAGAAAATATACATGACAACTGAAATGCAAAACACTGCTGATAGATTATTTTCAATTAAGTATGTAGATCATTTTTAAATATAACCAATTTAACAAGAAAACCACGCATTTCCACTGTCCTTGAAAAATATATTATTATTTTCGTTACTTGTTTGCGCAAATGTGGTTAAAAATATATTTTCATTGTTTTTCAATTAACTTAAGTATTTAAGGGCAATGACATATAAATTTACTTTGGATGTCACTGATAATATATATATTTTTTGATTATTGACTATGGTGAAACCTTATTGACGATTTTAATTAAAATCTGTAAAAAAATTGGAAAAACAATTTCAATGAATCAATGTACTAAAATAGAAAAAACAACAATTTTCGTGCAATGAACTTTAATACTTCCTACGTAAAAGTGTTTTTTATAGACGT